CAGCTTGTACTAACAGTTTTTGAGCGGGGGTGGGGGGCGTTCAACATGAGGGAAGAGGCAATGTGAGTGCTGCCTTTGGCTTTTTAGCTAGCGAGCCTGTATTTGCGCCGCTAGCTTAGTGATATGTCAGTGCCGGGTGGGGGTGGGAGGGGCAAGTTCAGTTTGGGAGGCGGGGTGCTCAGTTCTGTTGACGGGGTGGGGCACCCCACCTGTATAATGGTATTGGAAACACTGTGTATAAATAAATGCTAAAATAAACTACTACTAGTGTACATAATTTCATTCCATCTCATGTACCACATGAGATGGTAATGACAATAAAGTTTACTTGAACTTGGACTACTGTATCCCTACTTGGCAGTTTCTACTTATCGTGGGGGCGTGGTCCCATAAACCCCGCGATAAACGAGGGACTACTGTATATTGTAAGTTAGCTGTTGGACCAGTGAAGGCTAATCAAATCCTGAATACTCTGAATGTTGGCTTGCATGAGGCTCAGCTTGGTTCTGAACATCTGATCCAGAAATAAAACGTCCCCAACATTCACTTTAGTTCTCCACTGCGTTTCCAACAAACACACAACAGACCTGGACTTCTTCACTGAACTTCACGCAGTCAGAACTTTAATTATTTAAAGAGACAAACTGACCGGCGAAACTGAAATATATTTTTATCTTACTATATATAATCTTACTTTAATGTGTGATTATTTGTATTCTTTATATTTTATATGGCATATATCTTACATCAACATTTTATGTGTTAGAAGAGAGAAGACAGATTTTTATTTTTTTTGTTCCGGAGAGGTTCTGTTTCTGGTAGGAAGGATTTCTTAGTTTCACGCCTACATTTCTCAACAAATACTCCGGTATTTGAACATATGAGAGCGAGGGATTCTTGGCCGAAAGCTGGTCACGCGGTAAAAAGAAGCTTTGAAGAAAACGTTGACACCGAAGCTTCGGTGCCAGTTTAATCGACGACGCCTCGTGCACCAAAATGGCTGAGCGCTGAATTTTGTATTTTACATGTGCGTTAAATAAACCTTTTAATTGAGCAATCGATTCCTCCAGAGCCTGCTTCAGACTGTTTTGAACACACTTTAACAAAACCAAACGGACTGACTGGAAACAAAGAGATTAAATTTGGATCAACCTGAAGCACCGTGAAAGAACTGCTAGTTTTGTGTCTTGGAGTCTCCAGCAGTCTCAGCTCAGTGAGAAACAAAGAGACGGCCTAAATCAGTAGAAAATCTTTTATTGTTTAATCGATAAAATTAGTTTAAAATCAAAACTTTTTCTCAATAAACAGGGAGAATATGATGAAAGTACAGGAGCCCCTTCCTGTCATACTTCAAAATAAAAACACCAAGTTATACAAAGTTAAATGAAAGAATTCAGAAACAAAAATGAGAGCTGAGAGATGATCGCTCAAAATAAAACGAGTTCAGACTTTACACCTGCAGCTGAGAAAAATGATGGTTCACTTGGGTCCAGCTGGTTGAAACTGGTTCCAACAGGTTTTAACCGATTCTAACTAGTTCCAGCTTGTTCTAATTGGCTCTAACTGGTTCTAGCTGGATCTAACTGGATCCATTTGTTTCTAGCAGAATCCAATCTTATCTTTTTAAATAAAATCTACTTTATACAAACTAAAATATAAATGAAGCCGACAGGGAGTTTAGCGTTTACCAAACAAGTGATCCTGTCTGCACTTGTGGTGTTCTCTAATTTAAGCAAAATCTAAACAAACTTTAAACTGAACAAAGTCCCAGTTTTTCATCAGAACTTTAACTCAGAGCACAAAATCTGTCCTGAAGGCATCCACTCCTCAAACATTAACAAACGTAATTAATTAAAAAAAAACTGCATTTTATCAAATAACTGAGTGAAATTAAAACACGTCTTTTATAACATTTTACAAAGAACATAAATAATTTGACTCCAAATGTTGATTTTTTTTTTTTCCCTACAAATGGTTGAGTTTTAGTTCTTTAGTTTCAGGTCACACCAAGTACTTTGACTCAAACTGCAAACAAATATATAAAAATATAAAAACCTGAAAAGATCGTCCAGCAAATGTTGATTTCTTGTTTTCTGAAGACTAAAACAGAGAGAACTTTTCACCTGCTGTGGATTTTTGCAGATACGTCACAAATTGGGAAAATCTAAACTTTAACAAGTCAAAATGTCTGACCCAAAGGATAAATCCTCTCAGAAAAATTATTGAGCTTTTTAAGTGTTTTCTGTAAACAGGTGGTCAGCCTGAGTCACCTGAGTGACTCTTCACATGTAATGCTAATTTACCACTTTGGCTGAAACTTTTCCCACATGTTTCACAGACGTATGACTTCTCGCTTGTGTGCGTTCTCATGTGAGCCATGAGGGTACGGTTCTCAGAGAAACACCTCCCACAGGCGCTGCAGGAGAAGGGCTTCTCACCTGTGTGAACTCTCAGGTGCACTGTCAGATTGCGGCTGTCAGTGAAACTCTTTCCACATGTTTTACATGAGTATGGCCTCTCACCTGTGTGGGTTCTGATGTGGGAATTTAAACTACGGTTCTCGCTGAAACTTCTCCCACAGACTTTGCAGGGATAGGGCTTCTCACCTGTGTGTGTTCTCATGTGGATCGTAAGGTGACAACTTCTGCTAAAACTTTTCGCACAAATTTTACAAGAAAAGGGTTTCTCACCCGTGTGAATTCTGGCATGGACGGCTAACTCATCGCTTCTCTTGAAGGTTTTCTTACACATTGCGCAGGAGTACGGTCTCTCTCCGGTGTGAGCCCTCATGTGGGCAGACAAACCGCCGCTCTGAATAAAACACTTCCCACAGAAGTCACAAGGGTATGGCTTCTCACCTGTGTGAGTCCTCATGTGAATGGTCAAATGGCCCCTGGAGGTGAAAGACTTTCCACAGGTGGTGCAGGTAAAGGGCTTTTCACCTGCGTGGACCTTCATGTGGAAGGTCAGATTGCTGAGCTGGCTGAAAAGTTTACCACAGGTTTTGCAGGAGTATGGCTTCAGTCCGGTGTGGGTTCTCATGTGGACCAGCAGGTTGTTGTATCTTATAAAACTCTTCCCGCAGGTGTTGCAGGAGAACGGTCTCTCACCCGTGTGAGTTTTCCGATGAGCCCTCATGTTGTAGCTCTGAGTGAAAACTTTTCCACAAATGTCACATTTCAGAGGATTTTCAGCATCACCTCTGCTCGTTCCTGGATTTTCCTGATCCAGTCCTTCCTGAGTCTGGTTCCCAGGCTCAGCAGAATTCTGAGGGAGTAGTCGGTCCCTGTATGGTTCTGGTTCCTCATCATTACTGTCATCACAGTCAACAGTCACCATAAAGGTATCAGACTCCTCCTTCGGTTCCAGCTCCTCTTCCTCCTGACCGATGCAGAATTCTTCATCTTCTTCTTTGACCTGTGGAGCTTCTGGTTCCTCCCCGTTACCTTCCACCTGCAGAGCTTCTGGTTCCTCCTGGTCCAGACCTGAACTCATGTCCAGATTACAGAGTTGGAGGTCCTGGTGGTGGATGCAACACCGTGGAAGAGCTGAAAGGATAAAGAAAAATATGTTCACTATTGGGTTCCACAAGAAAACTTAATTTCATCCATCCATTATCTTTACTCGCTTCTTCCTTTTCAGGGTGCGGGGGTCGCCGGTGCCCATGTGAAAAATATATTTTGTTTTATCTAGGCGGGGTTCTAGAGAACCAGCAGGTGCTGGTCCAGCCTGCAGTGGGACGTTGATGTGCTTTCATAATTTAGCAAAAATATACATTTGAATCATAAGCAATATTTACTTTGTTTTGAACTAAGCCATTTTATTTTTAATTAAGTCAACATTTATACAGGTTAATCCCATTGAGACTCGGGAACTCGTTTACGAGGGAGACCTGACATTAACAAAGAGAGATGACAACAAAGACAACAGCAGACAATCATAAAAAGCATACAAATTGAGAAGAACAAATAAAAGAAAATTGTATTCAAAAAACAAAATAAAAAACAGCTAGTTTGTAAAGTTATGTAGAAAACTAAAAACAGGAACGTCCGTGTTGGTTTTTGCAGGAACTTATCAGATGTTTGATGTCACTTGAAGGGTCAAAGGTCGAGAGCTTCAGATCTTTTTACAAGATATTCCAGGAAACAGGAGCGGAGTAGGAGAAGGTCCTTTTGTCTAGTTCAGTCCTCACTGAGGGAACACTGCAGGTAATGATGTCCTGAGAGCGCACGCTGTAGCTGCACTCACACAGAGACATGTAGGAGGAGATGTATGAAGGCAGCAGACCAGGAAGTGATTTAAAGATGGAAATGTACCAGTGAGAGAGTCTGTGTGAAGTTAATGGTGACCAGTGCAGATATTAATGATTAGATTAATGCAGATATAAATAAAAACACGATGTGTCAAAAATTATCTATGTAACTCAACATATTTAAAATTCAATTAACTTTTTTTTTTTTTTTCAAACAGCAGTGTTTCCTCTAGATTACTTGCCTTGGAAAGGTGCTCTTCTCTTCAGGGTTTATGTCTTCAGAGAGAGAGAAAGCGGAGAGTGGGATTTGGTTAGTTTAGAGCTACGTTTGTGGTGGCAGTTGTCGACCAGGGGGCGGGGGGATGGGGTAGCAGAGCACTGCGTTTGTATTTCATGCAGAGTCTAAAGGCTTCCACAGTGTGTGTGTGTGTGTGTGTGTGTGTGTGTGTGTGTGTGTGTGTGTG